AAAAATAAAAATATTTTTGTAATAAAATAAAACTCATAGTTAGTTTAAAAAAAAATTTATAAACTCCATGTTTATACAATAATTCATATTTGTTTATTTACTTAATATTATTTTACAATTTTTAAATTAAACCTAACTGATTACATTTTTTTTAATAATATTCAATGTCAGTTTACAATAATATTATAGAATAAAAATTTTGAGAGAAAATCATTGTCGGTTTTAATTATCGTTACATTTTTGTTAAATCTTTGTGTTATAGAAATCTTAATAATTGAATCTTAATAAAACAAAATTCCACTATTATTAATATATCAAAATTGAAAAAAGAAAAATTTCTACGAAGCCTGCACAAATATTCATTTACAATATATATAAAAAAAAAAGGTTTTTATCATGCTATAACTTTTAAGCTCTGTCAATATAGAATTTATTTAATTTAAGCTCTGTCGATAGAAGAATACAAAATATAAAGAAATACAGATACAATAATTATTATTCTTATTCTCTAGGGCCCATAACTTGAAGTGGTGGGATATTTTTTTAAAAACTTTGTCAGTTTTTAAAAAAGTAAATTTCAGAATTTCATATTCTATACATACTGCTTTTAAAAAATATTTCATCACCTCAATTGATGCGAAAAGAGAATACGGATGTATAACAATTATTTCAATGAATGTCTCTAATATGTAAAATTTAACCATTAAAATTTAAATCTTATCAAAAATTTACTTTTTATTTTAACTATGAGCAATTAATTGAATATTTTATGTATATTATTTACGAACAATCTATATATATATATATATATATATATATATATATATATATAGATGTTTATTAGTACATGTATATATATTTTAGTACATGTATAAAAATTAGAATTTGATTGTAAAAATTGTATGGAAATTATATCTCAAAAATTAATTTTTGTTTAAAAGTCATTTTATTATATTCTTTATATTCTTTGTTGGAAAAATGAACTTTCGTATATTACAGAATTTATCAAATTTTCTTCAAATTAATGTTTTTTCTGTACTTTCGTTATTACAAATCGTTAAATGTCAGTAAATTGTGCATGATTTACCGATAAAAATTGAAGTAATCTTAAATTCATAAAATTTTTCAAAGGTATATTAAAAAATTTGCTTTTTTTATTACTTACATACTATTAAATCATAAACTGTTGTTGTCATATCACGTATGGTTCTTAATTTTTTCATCTTTTAAACATTTTATGTACGTAACAATGAAATATGAATTTTATGTTAGGTCTTATGAAATATTTATTTTATATTAACCATTTAAATTTTGTAAATTGAATTGAAATCATTTAATAATAATATGACTATTATGGAAAACTCAAGATACTGCTTTTTTTTTTGTCAATTTGTAAATACGCGTAAAATTTACAACGTTACTTTTCCAAAATTACTAATGTTAGAGTTACGTGGCTTTTCTATAAAGATAGTTTAGAACATTCTGAATTTTTCTATATACATAGTTCAAAACTCTCCAAAATGCAGTTTCGTGACTTTTCCATAAATAATACATATATTCATCTTAATACATATATAAAAATATCGTATCAAATAGTAAAAAAAAAAATTCGTTAATTTAGTTTTTGCTTTCAAAGAAAAGAAAATTAGTTTGAAATCTTAAAGGTAAGATTTAAGATTTTATCTATTTTTTAATTTTATTGTGTTATTATGGTTATTTTTCACTTTCTATTTTTAAAAATTTCAAAAATATGCAAACATGCATATGCAAACTTTAATGCTTTTCCTTTAATGTATTTGAAATATAATTCAATATAATGTATACTTTTCTTTATAATTCAGTATAATGTTTTCTTTCAATAACTTTTACGTAACAAATTAAAAATTAAAATTTGCTGAAAAAACACCGTCGCTAGTAAAATAAGTATTACAGGCTCTTAAAATTTTAAAAGTGGTTTTTGCTTTAATTTCTTATCTTTTTTTAATTGGTTGGCAATTAAATTTCATTAAATATGAATAGTTGAATTTATTGTAAAAATGAAGGGCTAGATTTAATTTAATTAACATTTTACGCTAATTTAAAAATTAAAAAATTGGCATTAATTTTATACTTAAAACAATAATAATTATTGTTTCTTTTATATTCTACGTACATCTATTTATATAAACATTAATTATTAAAAAATCAAAAAATTAAATTAAGTAATTAAATGTTTATAAAATGGATGTACGAAAATCCAATACTTATAAAAGAGATATACAAAAACTGCAAAAATTAAGGTAAGCATTCCATAAATGGGAGTGAGGTCTATTAACTTGACATTTTTGGTATGTTATAAGTGCCATGATTAAACCTCAAAATATTCAGGCGTAGGTTATTTTTTAGCCAGTGCGCTTATGATTGCTTTAAGGTGTGGGTAATGCAGTTTACTTAACAACGAAAAAAGTGTGTGTCTTTTAAACTATCGTCTAGTTTTTCTATCAAATTCAAATAAATATTAGAATAACAGTTGAAGTTCAAATTTCGTACATATTAAAATAATTTTGGAGAAAGCTTTCAAATTACACGTTATTCAAAAATGTTTCCTAAAATAAAAGTAAATCGACTACGTATGTAAATTTATGCACGTCATAGAAATGATTAAAAGAAAAAGCAATTGATATATTATCATACAATTTAGTTTATTTTTATGTTTTATTCTTCTTTTTTAATAAAATGCTTTTTTAAATACAAATAAAATATAAATTGTAAATATGTTTTCATTGAAATATGTTCAATTTTAGCATTCAGAACTGTGTTGACAAAGAAACGCATTAATTTTTAATTATGTAATATTTTTGTTCACATTCCTTAATACGTTCTCAGAATCGTATGTTAATACGTTCCCAGAATCGTATTACTCATATTTAATTCAGAAATTTCACATTCAAAATGAACCAAATTTAAAGACTACTACTGTAAATAAAAATAGATAATATACGAATATATATAGATGTTGCTGGATGAGTTGTTCTTCAACATATTTTTTTAACATAAATTTAAGTGCTAAGTAGGCTGTTGTCCTTTAATATGTTTTTTGAATTTATTTGTGTTTATTTTATGTTAAATAAAGAGAATCTAGGGGTGACGATATTTTAATTTTCTTTATTTGTAATAGAAAAGATAAATAATTGCATTTTTAATAGAAAATGTCAAGAAAGTTTGCTTAATTTAACATTGTTATTCATTTATTGTTCAACACTGGGTATATTTTTTATTCAAATTTTTAATTTAACTTTTTTTTTTAATTTTTGTTTTTAATTAATAATTTTTTATTGCTGTTTAAAACTATTCTTTGAATTAAGAATCACTTCTAATCCAAAGATCGGTTCCAAGAATTTTTTTAATGCCATTTGATAATTTTTTTCTCATTTGTAGTTGAATAAATTCAAATTGAAATTGCATTATAAAAGTTATTAATTAGTAATTTTACCATTTTTAATTTGAGTATATTAATTAAATTTAATCGTGTACCTCCACTTTCCAGCCACATACTTTTTGACAATTTGAAATTAGAAGTCTTAATTTCATTGTTATTTTCCTAATTCAATTTAAGTTTGTGCTTGTTATTTTTTTCTAATTTGGATGATCTAATGGTTTCTTATCAAAATATTAGTACTGCGTTTCCAATGCAGTATGATTCAATTTCGTTTATAGCTTTAAACGAGAACTTTTTTTGTCACCTTCAAGTACAAAGTGACGAATGATGGTAACTGAATTTTTTATATATTTTTTTTTAAGGAAACGTAACGCAAATGAAAATCCTTCTCATTGGGTGAGAAATTACTCAATAAATACAATTTTCATCCATGGTGGTACACAATTAGGCACAACAAAATATATATATATATATATATATATTTTTTTTTTAGTTGTAGAATTAGATTAATACAAGTATGTATGAATTTTATTAATATGTACGTAAAATATTCTTTTAAAATAAATATAAATTGAAAATGAAAAAACTACGCATAACCTATGGTTGGTAACATACCAAATTACATAGTAATTTTTTTTTATTGAATCTATATAATGTTAATGTGTATAGACGGCTAAACATGATATTTTGAGAAAACAAAAACTAAAAATTTTTGAATAAATAAGACTTTAAATCCCTCGCTCTCGACTTCAAAAATTTAAACTATTACTACTAGAGAACTTCAACAAAAGCTCCGAACCACCTTTTGTAAATTTTACTACATTTTGTATGTCTGTATATACATATATACACATTTAAGTATACATACAAAAAACATTTATAAATGTATTTACATTATTACATACAACCCTTGAACGGACTGATATGAAACATAAAAAAATATAAAGTATAATATAAAACAAAAGAAATTCAGTAATATTATAATGTTAATATGAAGTAACTCTGATTGGATACGGCAAATGTATTTATTAAAATTATATATAAAAGTATATGTATTATATGTATTTATATAAAAATATGTATTAAATATAAAAAATTAAATATAGTTTTGTATGTAAAAAACAAAAAAAAAACTTATTTAAATTTAAATGTTAAGATGTAATTGCAATATCATGAAAAAAAAAGACAAAAAAAAAACAAAAAATATGATGACATTTTTTAAAAAATGTAATGAAAAACAAACAAAAAAAATGTTTTCGAATCAAATGAAAATACTATTAAAAATTCATGATACCAGATGAGGGTTAATAGATATAAAAAAAAAAAAACAAAAAAATTTCATTTGTTTTTTTTTCGAATTTGTATTAATTATTATTCATTAATACTTGAATTAGTATTAGTTATAATTTAAAATTTAATATAGAAACTATTATATTGTAGTAATAAATAAAATTGTAAATATTTGCAAAAAAAAATTCGTTTGTTAATTTAATAATTTTTTAAATTTTTTTTCTAAATCTTTTCAAAGATACACCGTGACCTCAATAATACGGTTACGACATAAACTGTACAAAGTATCACA